AGACTCCAGGCAGAACCATTCATATTAATATTAATGATAGTATTTGCTGTTCATTTCTATGCAGCAGGCATTGTGCCTTTTGTATCATCTCATTTAATCTTTACAGCCTCCTGAAGAAATTCATATTCGCTTCTCACAGATAAACTAAGTATAGAGATGATAACTAGTCACTTGCTCAAGGGATGCAGTGCGTTAAGCAGAAGAGCAGGGATTTGAATGTAGGGCTTTCTGATGCCATAGTCCAGGCTCTTGAACTGGGCTTCCCTGGGGACTGGGGGTGGGGCAGAAGCACTGCAGACTCTAAGCAGCACAGCCAAGTCAGGGAGGCATTTCTTACCTGGAACCTGGAGAAGTGAGGCTATTCTCTACTCTTTGGTCTGATCTTAAACATGGACATATCCCTGCAGTCTTGGATGGCAACTAGCCTCCACTCTGATTTTTCTTCTTCTCTGAGAACTGCATGTCCTCGAGTTACCATGAACTACCAGACAAATAGCCAGTGGCTCCTGAAAAATTCTATCCAGGGATATCCCTGAGGGGTGTGTGTGTGTGTGTGTGTGTGTGTGTGTGTGTGTGTGTGTGTGTGTGTGCGTGTGTGTGTGTGTGTGGTGTATTGAGAAAACAGTGGCTGGTCCTTACTGAGGCTAACAGACATGGTCCATTTATAATAAGCCCTGCCGTGGCTTGTAAATTTATTAGGAGAAGTGAGTGTAATTAAATTCGGGGGTGGGGGGAAGAGGGCCATTGCTTCCTTTTCTCCTTTAGAGAGCTGGGCTGAGCTACTGATGGGAATAATTAGCAGAGTCCAAACAGAGAAGGAATTAATGCTCCTGGAAAAACTGTGATGAGGAGAGACAATGCTGGGCTAATTATGGCCGCACCAAGCTTTATGACTGGGTGCCTGCTTCCACCGTCATTAGAGGGTTCAGAGATAAATTGGAGGCTAATGTAGAATGCTATGGTGAGAAGAGCTTTGGCACTAATTCAGTTATTATTATTGAAGATGATCACAGTACCTTTCTATCCATGGTCCCCTTGAATGGGGAACTAGAAGTTGGTGTGGTGGAGGGGAGGAACAGTCAGGTAGTCTCTCCGTTCTGTTCTCCGCCACAATTAATATAAATTGCAACTAGTGAGAGGAGAGATCTGTGTGGATGTTGTGGGCAAGGAGTTCAGTGCCCCAGAGAGAGCAGTGAGGGATAGGGTGTTATTTAAACCTGCAGGGTCTGGACTGGATGCCCAGCTGCCTCAGCTCTGTCTGCATTTCCTAAGAGGCTCAGTATTAGAGGTTCTTCTTCCTAAGTCCAACCTGCAGGGTGATGATGAGCTCAGTCGGGTCTTCTTGTCATGCTTAACCCAACTGAAGGTGACCCTGAAGAAGCCCCAGAGTCAGTCCCAATCATTTACAGCCTCATATCTCCCCCCCCCCCAGTTCAGTGGACCAAGAAGACATGTTTGAACAGTAAGGAGAGAAAGCACAGATTTTGCAGAGCTTGAAGTAGTGAGACACACTAAAACTACCAGCCCCATTTGGCCCTGTCACAGTGAGAGGGAGAAAAGACCTTCTGGAGACTCTAGAAAGCAAGGGCTCTACAACAGTTAAATGTTGGGCTTTAGACACTCAATGTGCATCCTAAGTATAGTGGCACTGTCTCAGGAGGCTGATACAGGGGGATTGTCACAAGTTTGAGGCCAGCCTGGGCTACATAGCTGGATCCTGTCTCAAAACATCAAGAGAGAAAAAAGGTTAAGGCATGAAGCACACTAGGATTGGCAAACCATCCCACCGGTTGTTTAGGGCGGTGAGCTTCTTCCATGAATGTAAAATATAGTATTTCTTTCTTGTGTCTAGAAGGAGCCAGGGAGTGTCTGGTGCTTCAGATAAAGAAATGGAACTCTGTTCTAGAGAAATGTGCATTTCATTTGCCAGCGCACACAGGGATAAAAATTTTTTTTTCTGGGCTGCAAAAGCCACCTTCAAAGGTAGGTGGATCACAGAACATCTCTAGAGTCATTAATGAAGCTAACAAACATCACATCCATCTAGGGCCATAGGTAAGCTGGGAACAGCCACTCCCGGCTGCCAGCCTGCAGTACCAGGCAGCTTGGGCTAGCTTTTGGGTTCCTGCATATTCTAGAACACTCTTAGATTTCTGCTGCACACTTTGTCCTCTGCAACTGGACTATGTATAAAGTTCATTCACCTCCACAAGGAAAATGACTGAAGGAAAGGCCTGTTGGTGACTGTTTGAGTATATGGGGCATATAAGGAGTACATTAAGAAAGAAAGCAGGCCGTTGATCCGTAGGGCTTTTAGAGAAAGTGGGGAGTTTGCTTTTAATTGAGAAGTTTCAGTATAGATCTTTCCAAATAGGAGGGTCTGATTTATCCAGATTTCTGATGCAATTCCTTGCCTAGACCCTGGCCCATGGGAAGGTCTGTGCAGATGGCAGAGGACTCTGAGTCTCAAAGATGAAGCTCAAGGAATCCTGGGAGCTAGAGACTTCAGAGCTGGCAGAAGGCAGGGAGGAAAGGTAAGATGGAAAAGGGAGCCAAGCATACCCTGCCCACTTGCATTCCTCCCCATAAAACTATAGATGAAAGATCCAGCATTGCTTTGGTTGGAGGATGGGATCCTAGATGGAGAAAATAGTGCAGGCTGGGGGGTGGAAGGTCTGTCACCCTGGCCTGAACCATGCATCTCCCAAGACCCAGTGTTCATCTAAATCCCCAAGGTCCTGCAGCCAACTGAGCCACTTCCTCGTGGTGTGATCCAGCTCCCTTTCTGCCTGCATCTCTTGTCCTACCTTGGCCCCAGGATTTCTTGGGGCTTGTGACAGACACAGTAACCAAGTTAAGGCTCCCTGGGACCAGAGCAGTTTGTACAACTCAAATTCACCTTAGGGCAGGGTACTGTTTCATGTGGTACCCTGTCTTTTGCCCAGGCTTCACTTACCTCAGATTGTTCAGATTAAAGGAATCTTTTGGGAGTCAGAATACCAGTGTCTTTCCCAACATGTGCACACAACCCCCCCATACCCCCCAGCATCAATACCAGTATCTCCCCCAACACATACACACAACCACTCCCACCCCCCACCCCGCACCCCAGCATCTTTGCAGTGGACAGGTAGTAGTGCAGAACTCCGTGGATGTGTTCTGGCCCTCCATACTCTGAGGGAGGACTCCACTGCAGATGAAGCATTTGAGGAAAAGATGGGAGGGAGCTAAAAGAAAGGAGGGAGGTACAAAGTGACTGACTTCAGGAAATTTCTATCTTGGAAGTATATGGAGCTGGGGGGTGTAGAAGGAGATGACACCAGAGAAATGGTATCTAATAACAGTCTAATCTGTTCTGAGAATACCACAGAGGGAGAGCCAACTTTAATCACGGTCCCACTTGTAAAAGTTCCTTAAGTCTAGTGTCTTGGTCTCTTCTGCTGCAGTCATCAACTCATTGATTAAATAGTGCCAGAGAAGGCCAGAGAGAAAAGCAGTGTCCCTAATGACTCATACAGATGTGAGGTGGGCTCCACTAGCACAAGACTGGATGCAGCCTCCTAGAGGATACACACAGCCTTCCCTGGCCTCTCTACCCCTCCCTCGAAGGCTAGCTATATTCCTAACCTAGAATCTACCTCTATCTTTGACCTTTAACCTCAAATGGAAACAGGGCTCTGGAGTCTGAGGTCACTGGGGAGCTTACCCAGCCTGCACCTGCTCCCAGAACCCCTCCTCTGGTCGCTGGCCACTTGTCCCTGGGGAGGCGAGTGGGGACTATATTCCTGCCTCTAGCATTCCCCTCTCCTCTTTCCCGCGCCAGCCATATGGAACCACGAAGTGACCTCCCACTTAAGCCTAGGCCCAAAGCTACTAGGGTCCGAGTGCGGGTCTCGGTCGGGGACAAGGTTCAGTGAGTCTGCGGAGCCCCAAGGAACTCCAGCGCCTCAGGTTCTGCAGGATTTCCCCACCCCCACGCCGCATTCACCCCGGGCCTCGCGCTGCCCCGGGCCCTTCCCTCCGAGGGAACAGGACCCATACACGCTCTGTCCTGGACCCTCCTAATTGGGGGACAAAGGATCCTGCTGCAGCAGGAGAGCTGCTTGGCGGTAAAGACTGGTGCAGCAGGTACATACCCGGGCCGGTCGGCTGCCACGCCGCGGACACTCCCGCGGCTCCCGCCGCCAGGGCGCGACACGCCACCCCTGTTGTCGCGACTCCCGCGAGACGTCGCGGCTGCACGCGGGACCCTACCCAATGGGCTCGGTCTCGGGACTCACCGTCTCCGGTGAGCTTGACTTGGCTCAGGCTGCCGCCTAGGCTCAGCGGCCGCCCGGGCTGCGTCCGGCGCGCGGTCCGCACCTCCCGGGCCGGAGGTTCCCGCCTGGCAAAGTCCGGCGAGAGGCACCGGCTCAGTTGCGCACCCGCCCGGAGTCCGAGTGAGTCAGAGAGACGGAGGGAGCGAGTTATAGGGGTGTCGGGGTGGGGGGGTAAGCCACGACACCCCGCCCCCGCTCCCCCCTCGTCCCCTCCGCCCCCCGGCGAGACGCAGACAGCCGCTCGCTGCTGAGAGACCTGGACACAAAGACCGCGTGCCAGCTGCAGACGCAAGTTTTTCTCAAGCCCAGGGGCTCGACCCGCCTTCACCCAGTGGACTCTGGAACCCCCCCCCCCCCGAGGACTCAGCCTTTCCTCTGCAGCCAGGATGTCTCCCTCTCCACGGCTCTGGCCGATGGGCCCCAGGGTGAGCCTAGAGACAAGGGAAACTGAGGCCCCATGGGTGCCGCATCCTCGGAGCTCTCACATTAGTGAGGAGAGAAGGGGTTCTCCTCCCGGGTTCCCTTGGATCTCTTTCTGAGGGCGGTGAGCCATCGAACTGGCCCAGGCTGGTACCCCAAGCTAGACTTCTAGGTTCTGGGGGTCTTGGGCCGGTGCCTTGGGGAGGGGAGGTCACCGGGGTGAAAATCCAGGAATGGAGGGACCTCTGGGTCTCCTGGTACCTGAGTCGGCCGCGCTCGGACTCTGCTCCGGGGGCTGCAGCTCGAAGCTCCGACAAGTCTCCACGTCCAGCCCGAGAGGGGGCGGCCGGGCCCGGCACAGAGAGGCCAGGACCGCGAGCGCCGCCTGGCACCGAGGCCCTCCGGCCCCCCAAACCCCGCTCATGCCCCGAACACTTAGGTCTGAGGAGCAGTGGCTCGAACCCCACACCACGGCCGGACTGGGGCGGGGCAAGGCGGCCCTAAGAAGACCCTCCCGCAGCGGCCCCCTGCGGTTCAGCTCTGCTTTTAATCACTTCCCTGCAGGGTCCCCGCCCCTCACGTGGCATCCCGCGGCAGCTGGCAAGTCTGGCGCCTCTCGGCCGCCCCCTCCACACGCAGGGACCTGACTGAGTCCGGGAAGGTTCCAACCCCGCTGTCCCACAAGGTGCAGGATTCAAGGCCAGCTGAGCAATTATGAAGATGTGACCTTGGACCTTTCTGGGACTCCGTTTTCCTTTTCATAAAGAGATTTGATGATTACTGGTACTTCATGAGCTCCCTGAGAATATAGGTAGTACTTGTGAAAACGAGGGGGAAATTGCCACATGTCACACCAAGTGGGCATCGCAGTAACACAACATAAAAAGGGATGGCCTGACTGTACGGCGGGAAGACCCTGCCAAGGCTGTTGACAGGAGAACTTAACCGGACTTGCCGGGTCTCAGCTTCGGAGATAGAAGACCCCAAGACTGCGGAGCGAGGGGAACTGTAAAGACTTTCAGAGCCCGGCAATCTTGTGGTCCGAGGCACGGCACGTTGCTATGGAGACGGAGGCAGCGGCCGTCTCTCTCCATGGCAACGGGAGGAGAAAGTTTCTGGCGAATAGGAATGGGGAGCATTTCAGGAAGGGGTTCGGTTCCCACCAGATCTACCTCCACGCATCAGACCAAACCCACCAGAAATAATGTATTTTTTTCTATGAAGCACACATAGCAAGGACACATAGAAAGGTGGAAAACATAAGGAGGCTAGACTGTAAAAAGAGCTCCCCTCGGGAACCGTGAAGTGAGACTCGGAAGCAGGATGGCTGAGATGCTTCACTCAACCCTGGAAATCTAGGAGCCATTGCTAACTGCCAGGGGACTGAGCCCAGTAAGGTCCTATCAGGGTAGATTCCTGTCCTTCACCTATCACCAATGTGTCACCTTCCCGAGTTGGGATCTTGGAAAGAAACTTCAGCTGGAGTTCCTGCATCTTCAACTATGGGGCTGGGGTGTGCAACAGAGAGTGGTAGGGGAGGAGGGTCTTTCCTCCGAATTAACCCGCTAATTGGAAGTGGCTTGGGCTGTGGCTAGGTTCCGGAGGGAGGAGATTCGGAGCGCCAACTCCAGGCGATCCCCATCGTGCACCATCTGCACCAGCCTCATCAGAGGTCCGTTACAAAAGCAAATCCCAGTCAGTGAGGGCCCGGTGTAGCAAGGGAAAAAAAAAAAAAAAAAAAAAAAGCTGAGGCCCTGTCCGTGGTGCTGAAGGTTCTGTTGGTACAACCAGCTTGTGCGCAACGTGTTAGGGAATAGCCGGGAGGGGCAATTAATTATAGCCAGTTCTCAGCTTCCACCTGGGTCCCTGGAATTTGCCATAGAGAGATGTAGGATTTCAGGCGGGAGTGCTGAGGAGGCTTGATCCATGAGCCCTGTGCAATCCGGACCACCTTCCAGCCGGTGGTGCGGGGTTGCTGTTCCAACAACAGGTAAGCTGCTGCCTCTCCGTTCGCCTTCCCGAGGAACCAACCAAGACTCCCCGTCATCCTCCCCTCAGCGCAAAAGCAAACCTCAGCCCCCAGGAGAGATCGGAGTTCCGAGGCCCCAGGCTACACTCTCATTAGCAGCTTCCCAAGCGGGGGTTTTGTGTTTATGTAAAACACAAATGGAGAGCTGCTCTCTGGCGGTGTTTATAGCAACTTTCATTCCGCGGCAATTTCTCCCTCCCCCTTTCGAGTTCCTGGGGACATTCACAGAACAAAGCATCTTGCTTTGCTTTTGCAGAGGGAAAAAAAAAAAAAAAATAGGACCACCTTTCCAAGGGACCAGGTCTGTGATGCAGGGAAATCAATATTTTGCTTACACTGAGTGGAGGAATTTGCCTTTAAACCTAAGGCAAAGGAGCCTGCCTATTCGGAGCAGAGCAGGTGGCAGGAGCTGAGAATTAACAGATAATTTCTCATTGTTCCCGGATCCAGCCTCCACACTCGGCAGGCAGCTCTGCATCTCTGGCATTTCTCAACCTAACAGAGCAAAAGAGGTTCTACCCTGACAGGGCTGCAGGAAGAGGCTGAGCTCCAGGCTCCTAGTGCCAGGGTGACTGCATGAAAGAGACAGAGGTACTGAGATGGAGGAGATAGGCACAGAGACTGTGGGTGTAGGAGACATGGAGAAACCTAGTCAGACACCTATGAAGGCACACATCCAGAAAGTGACTAAAATTATTTTTTCTTACACTATGATGAGCGTCACCCTAGCTGTTCCCTTGCTGCCTCACCATCCACTGCTGATGCCACTGTGGTGAATAGCCAGTATCAAAACAGAAGAAAACTTCCTCTTGTGTCTCTCAAACCCTTCCCCCACCTCCAAACATATCTAAAAGTCTTCTCACATGAAGAAACAAATTCAGACTCCCAGGGTGTCACCCAAATGCCAGGGAGAAAAAGGTGGAACAAAGTGGAATTGTAGACCACTCAACTGCAGAGAGACTATGCTGCATGTGGGTTTAAAGGTGGGGAAGAGAGAGGGGAACGTGGAGAATATGGCCAAATGCCAAGCACGGACATCAGACAGGGTAGTAGGAAGCCTGGGACAGTCACAGCCACTGTCTGGACTTCAGTGTCCTGGTGAAGCAGGTGATGACTTTCCAAGTGCCCAGCACACCTTGAGCTTTTTCCCTCCCATGGGCTTTCTTATAGCTTTGGCCAGAACTGTCTGAATCTGGGGTCTCTGGACCAGGCTGCTCAGAAGTACAGAATGGGGCTAGAAAAGGGGTGTGAGGCAGGATGAGAGATCTGAAGCAGAAACTAAAGGTCTCCTATTCCCCGTGCCCTTGTCATTCTCTCCCTAGATAGCCAAAGTGCACATTCCCCACTCCCATCCCCATTCTCTGCCCTCGGGGTGACCACCCACCCTACTCAGAGCAGCAGTGTCTTGTTGAATTATGCTACAAATAAAATAAATGAGAACCACATTTTTTTTTTTTAATTTGAACCTTGGTAAGAAATTGCTAATGCCGTAGGCGGGAAGAGTGAGCTTCTTTGACATGAACCGATGTGTCATATCATCCTTCCATCTCCGTGCAATTTCTAAATAGGGAACCCTCTCCCCAGCCCCCTCCCCACCCAGCCCTTCCAGTCTCCAGCAGATGTAAAGGTGGTATCTGATCTGATGCTCATAGCTGGATAGTCTGGCCTGCAGGAAGAGATACAGGGAACTAGACACAAAGCAGCTCACTGCTTTGTCACGAACCCCAGAGCCACAGGGGCTCTCTGACCCAGCTTCGAGGGCCCCTCTGTTCTTTCTACCTCCCATATTCCCTTCTATAGAGATCAGAGAGGGTCATCCAGGAGGTATAGTGTTCAGAGGCTGACCTGTGCTCATTTGCTAGGCTAGTCCCTGAAAACAACTGAGTGGGAACTTCTCTCATTCAATCCTCACAACAAAAAGGTGGCTCCAGACACTGTCCACAGAGCAGTACTCTTCCTCCCTCATACTGAGAGAAGGGTGGTGAGCTTGTGAAATTTTTATATCTTCCTTTAAAACGTTATGATATTTTAAAATAGACTTTCTTATATACAAAATGTATTTAGAAATTAATTGTGGAAGACTGAAAGATTTAGTCCTGTGTGTGTTTGCAAAGATCTAGGCTCTCTGAATTTTGCCATTCCAGCCGCCTCGGGATCCCTGTTTTGGAAGAAAGTCAATGTCATTGACAAAGCACAGAGACAGAGCCTGGGTTGGTCAGCTCCTCCTCAAAACTCGAAGAGCTGGGACTCTCCAGAGGGCGGCTTAGAGAGTCTCTGCTACTCCTGGGATGTGGCCTGTGCTCAGAGCCCAGCTTCCAGGAAAGGACCTAGACCACAACCTCAGTGTTAGGAATTCTCCCTGAGGAGCCTCCAGAGAGTTTGTAATCTCAAGACTCTGGCTGTTCCACTAATGAAAGAAAACAAAATAAAATGTCAAAAGTAATTAAAGTGACATGTTAGAAAAGGCCTGCCAAAAGATGTCTTAATCCTTGATTTCGATAGAATTCAGACAGCAAATCAAGGGCTTGAAATCTCCCATGGAATGAAAGGAAAGTACAAAGCCGCTTATCAAATTATAGCTTCTCTCTACACTGTAGGATAAAATTCTTTTCCTATCCAAGAGGCCAGGCAACACCTATGCTTCTGCTGTTTGCTAGAGTGTAGTAGTGACTGGCTGAGCTTCGCTTCTTTCCTGCACTAACACTTCGTTTGTAAAGTGAGAGGCCTTTGATACAACAGTCTCGGGTGCTAACCTCTGCGAGTGCCCCTAAGAGCAAAGTAATTAATCTCACTGGTGAGTCCCACCCCACCACTACCTTACCCCCAAGAAAGAGAGAGAGAAAAAGAGAGGAGAAAGAGAGAGAGAGAGAGAGAGAGAGAGGGGCCCTGGATTCATGGCTAAAGTAGAGGCAGAACTAGAACACAAGCCTGTGCCCTCTCTCAGCACTCACTAAGGTCTTCACTAAGACCCAGAAACTGAAGACATGGCTGTTTCCTGTATATGGCAACCTTCAGATACACCCACTGTATGCAGATCCCTGAGCTCGACTCCAGGCAGCTCTCCTGAGGGGGTGCAATGGGTTGCTGTGGAGAGAGGCCATGAGTGACAATGATTTAAAATGAGTTCTCTGACCTCTATGTTGTACAAATGCCCATGTCTATATTGACCAGGAAACTTCTGTGGCACAATTCTCTCTAAATTTCCTTCCCTTTTAGTTCTCTGCTGTCATCCCTTCCATTTTCTCCAGGGTTCAGCTCTCCTCCTGTGTCCCTGAACACTTTCTCCAAGTGGCCCACCCTCCTCTCCAACTTCAAATGTTCAAATCCTGTTTTTGTTTGTTTAGCCTAGGCTAGCCATCAACTGGATATGTAGCTGAGGATGACTTTGAACTTCTGATCCTTCTGCCTCTGTTTCCCAAGGGCTGAACTTACAGGCATATCCCATGCCCAGCAATGATACCATTATCAATAGTAGTTCTGTGGGAGGGTGAGATGGCTCAATAGGTCAAGATTCTTACCGAGAAGCCAAACAGCCTAAGCTTGATTCACAAAACCTATGTGGTAGAAGGAGTTAACTGACTCCTGAAAGTCCTGCAAGTTGTTCTCTGACCTCTACATGACACTTGTAGCACACTTGTGTCATACATATACACATGCATATGCACATAA